TCATCTCGCTCATCATAGATTATCAGATACGTGCTACCAGTATCTTCATCATCATCATCAGGTGGAACAAGGTAATCAAAGAAAATATTATCTTTATAATCTAAGTCATCAAATTCTGAGAGAGAAAATATATCAGAATTTTGTCTGTAAAGTATGCCCTCAGCTCATTCACATGTTCCATATACTGTATTTTTGTGTACCAATATGACTGCCGAAGCAGGTTGTAGTTCAAAGGACTGAGCTGTCAAGGATGAGGTAAAAACCAATTCAACCAGAACCAATTTGAAGCTACGCTGCAGGAATGTATCTTAACTAAACCAAATCTACATATTTGGATTGATGTTCCATCACTGTTTTATTGAATTCTCTGTTTAGATATATGATCGTTTTACTCATTTGTTTGAGATGCAGTGCAACGTGGGTGTTAACAAATGCATGCTTTAACCACTTCACATATTCCTTGGACACCGTGGGACATTTGATTTGGGAGGTAGACCATAAATTCCATACATCACTCTCTGTGGACATTGAGCATCGTATTTGAGCACTGACAATTTCTAGAAACAACCAATAGATTCCTACTCTTTTGTTTGATATGCCAAGTCAATTCAATCTGTACCTTTAAATTTTGCAAAAATATGTTGGACCTTTTCACAGCCCTTTTAGCCAAACTGTCAGAATATAAATAATATGATGCAGTATTCATTCTCACCATGCTTAATAACTAACATAATTCAGCAAACAGCAGACTATTAAAATCTGCTCCTTGGTTTAGGAAAATGTATCCAGGTGGTCGAAATTGCATTATTCTTTTCAGCTAACCTATCAGCAACAGACTGCACTGAGATGTCACTCAAAAGATAAGTTTCTGTTCACTTTGGCAAAGCAATTAATAATGACCATTACATGTCAAATAAGGTGGTCAGTCGCTGAACAGAACCAGCTATATCCAGAACCAATTTGTACAATGAAGAAACAACTATTCTCCGTCTGGGGTTTCCCGCTGTGACAGGCTTTATCTCTGAGCAGCACACAGTATGATGTTTACACCACCTCCCAAAGTCTCCTTTAAAATGGAACCAAGTTATTTGCTCCTGTAGATTGTATGTAGGACATGACACTCTCTGATATTTCTCACTCTAGCATTGTGTAAAGTCAAAAGAATGCTCTGTTTTAGAGGTCTTTGGTTCACTGGTTGCATCACAGAGCATGTGACATGTGCACATTAGTCATAGCAGTGATACTGCACATCATCTTGTGCTCTCAACTGTTTATACAAATGCGAGATGTTATTTGTATCCCTGCTGCTTTCATTGATTTGAGAAAGCTATAGCTGTCCAACAATAATTGTGAAAGCTAAATTTGATCTTCCAGTTGCTCTGCCCAACAATCCTAACTTGTAATTTGTTGTACCTATTTGATAGTAGTATTGTGAACATTGGAATACAATGTTCAGCAACACTTTCTTGGTTTCTGATGCTCATAAACCATTTCAACGATACATGATCCATTCTAACAGTGAATTTCCTACCTTACAAGTAGCACCAGTAGTGTGTGACACATACAACAATGGCACGTTTTGTGCAGTACTGGAACCACAATGTACGACTTGAAAATGTGATTTCCTTATTTCACTCCACCCTGCACGTGTCTTAACATCACTATGATCTCATTATCACTGGCTTCTGTATCCTGAATGAATAGAAAACTGCTTGGAATAAGGTTACACTGAAGCCTCAACTAAAATAATGTGCCTGATTTTTTTACCACAGTCTTCAGTCCGGTTGCGTCATGAATCAGCTTTAGTCATGGCAAACAATAGTTGACTACAAAACATTGATAATATGATAAAGCCCAGAAAACTGTGTGAATCAGCTTTAGTCATGGCAAACAATAGGTGACTACAAAACATTGATAATATGATAAAGCCCAGAAAACTGTGTGCTACCTTTATATTTCTAGGCTGGGGATAGTACTTATCGGCTGTGAAATTTGTCACTTCATTGGAGTCTTTGACTTGCAACAATATGACTATGTAATTACATAAAAATCCAGAAACAGCTTTTTGGGCAGATTATTTCTTAACTTTATAACAAGTTTTGACCATTCCTGTGGTCACCATCAGGTAAACTGTCTGATGTGTTTTGATTTAAATTAGGTTTTAACTCATGAATAGATAATGCTTCTTGTTTTTTTCTTCTATTAATGTTGTTATCCTTACACAATATTTTAAAGTTGCTAATATAGATTTAATGTTGATGCTTTGTACGGTGTTTGTAAAGATGTGATGGAGGATTGTCATGTTATTTGGTCCTAATGTTTATGTTGCGTCTCATTTCTTCTATCGTATTAATACTCGTTGATGCTTCTGTCGTTGAAGTTGTCAGAATAAAACTTCGATAGATGACCTTTGATTTTAGTGCTCGGTTTTTGAAGAAAAATAACTTTACTGCTTATATTGTATTTTTATATATGTTTCCGAATGTTTGTGATGGTTTTGGTTACATAGCCATGGTATGGTAAGACATATATTAGTGTCTGAATTTGTGCATTTTGTTTCCTTCTCCGAGTTTATGGCGTTTTCCTTTTCTTTCCTTTTTTATTAAATTTGTTTTGAGACTTGGCTAAAGTTCTAGTGACAATATGTTTACGGAAGTGACATTTGATAATAAATGTATTGGATATTGATTCTAGTTTATGGTGCAGATTACTGCAATATATATATATATATATATATATATATATATATACAAGTGTCAATGCGATCGATGCGACAGCATTTTCATAGGCGAAACGGGTGGCAATATAAACATTAGGATCAAAGAACATAGCAATCCCCATCACACATTTACGAACATAGTACAACGAATCAACATCCAATCAATATTAGCAACTTTAGAATATTAATAACACAAGCGTTATTTATTCGTGAACTAAAATCTAATTTGAATCAAAACACAGGTACCCTATATGTTTTCTAAATTGGAACAAAACAGTCGCTCAACTTTCTAATATTTCTTACAATAGACGACAGGTTACGTGATGATGACCACGGGAATGGTCAAAACGTTGTTGTAAAGTTTAAAAATAGAATACCTCCCTCAAAAAAGTATACAGTGCATTTCCTCTCTTTACATATAAGTATACATACAAGGACTCTTTCACGGCTTTAGTTTCAAATTTTATTTCCTTATATGCTAAAAATAAATATCTTAGGTTCTTAGCTGAAGACTGAAACGTGTGGCCTATTACTAGAGTATCATCTACATAAATGTGTCATTTCTCTTATCGCAGGCCTTAACAGTGTAAGTTTATTCAACCATTCAAAAGTGTTTAGTGGATTATACAAGCTGATTTGCATGATAATGAATAGATAGAGACCATTTTAAGTACTGGCAGCAATCTCGGGTCTCTTCTCATTATTTAATTTGATTTCCCAGTAGCCATACACCAGATATAGCATTGAACCATTGAAACTAACCTTAGTTACTTCTGCTTCTCTCACTGCACTTATAACTACATCAGCTGTTAGCTAAATGCTTATCTGTCCGTAACTACAAAGAATAATGGGATAAATGTTGGCCATGGACAAATAAACAGTGCTAGATTTCTGGACAAAAACTGTTTGTTTAAAATGTTGCTATCACCATTGCACCACAGAAAACCACATTTACGTTAGGAAAATCTCTGAAATTCTTCTCTAAGTGCATTAATGAATTTGATTGGCCGTCAGAGGATGTTTTTCTTACAAACCTGTAGCTCATGTACTCCAAATCTTGGTAGTAGTAGCATAATTCCGTCCTTCAAATTGTAGTGCTTGAGTCAAGATAAGAGAAATAATCTTTATTCTAGATGAGTTAGCAATAATAATAAGATGGAGTTATTGTTAAATAAATTAACCAGAGCAAAACCAGTTTTAACTGGCAAAATGGTGACTTCACTTGGAATATTGTCAACTTACGATTCAAAGTTATGCTGAAACATGCAGAAGCCAATATATTTCTTTATTAACATGTGGTAAAGTGGTAGACTGGCCAGTTCGTAAAGTATTGGACTGGATATTTCAATAGAAGTTGTACATCAGTTCAATAATTTATTAAATGCCACTTAACTTACGCGAAAAAAATGCCCTGAGAGACCGTTTACAATTGCCTCATGCAATGAATGAACTGTTATCTACCAGCTTCGGGATTGCCAGCAAACAACCTTTGTAACAGAACAGAAAAGATATCCTTAGGCAAGCTCACTGTGTAATGAATCTTGTATAAACTCAGGTATACTGAACAGGTTGTTCAAAGGAGGCAACTGGTGACAGTTGTGAACAAAGGCTGTCTGTGGAACTGGTGTAACATTCTTTCACATTGTTAGTCCATAACCTTCTCAGACGAGTCAGGCTTCTTCCATTTCACATGGTCCTGCCGTAAATTTTGGAGGCTTTTGACCCGTTGTGTCTCTGACCGGTTGTTAAGCATCGAGGTTTCAGAGTCATCATTTGGGTAGGCATATAGTTTGGTAGCAAAATGTGTCTTACATTAATTCAACGATATTTCAGTTCCATAGAGGGCATATGAATTCTACAGGATAACTTCCTGCCCCTATTTCATCAAATAATTGTGGGCCGATCATGTAATATTTTGCAAGAAGATAAAGAAACATGTCACACTCTAGAAGCGCCACAACTTGAAAAGTACAAAATGGACTGCAACAGCCACTATGACCGTCACAAAGTTTTAGTCGAACCATGTTGAATATGTACATGTATACTTGGATGACTGAATTCTTGGACATTAAAGTTTGCTTTTAATTATTATGAGTTCTCAATGTATGTACCAAATTTAGGGTTTTCAAATTATTATAGAGGGATCTGTATATGTGATCTGTCTTTTCGAAATATTTTATATTTTAAGAACATAATGAAAAATAAATTAATCATTATTGTAGAATAATTGTACCCTCACCGTGACCAGTTTATATTTTTGCAAACTTTAATTCTCTTATAGGGACAGCTACACATGTGTTATAAGCCAAGTGAAACCGAAAATGCTGTTGGAGAATCAACTGTGATTGCTATTCAGGTGAGCACGAGATCAATAATTCTCGACAATTCACATTATATTTTAATATATTTTTAGTAATAGTAAGTCAGTACAAAAGTCATTACCATTACAAAGTCTCTTTTCAATCGTGGGTGGACATAATTTTTAGCAGTTTGGACTCGATTGATAACGATATCATTACATAAATTAGAATATTATCAGTCCTCTTCCTACGTTGTTTAAAATTTCTTTAAATGTTTTTGACACACACTTTTTTATTCCAGCACAATATATTAGATACGTGTTTCCCCACAAGAACAACAATTCAAGTTTGGAATACGTTGTACTCTGGAGGTACAGCTAACTTTGTACCAAAAGGTTTCTCTCAGGGAGAAATGACAAGTGAAATACATACCAAAAAGTTTATGCCTCTGCTGAAAGTTGCAGTAACGGAAGTAAGTTTCATTGTTTATCATGCCTTTATATAGGTTTGCCACATAGTTGTTTTGCTTCATTTAATTTAATTGTTTAGTCTAGGAGATCGATTTTACATTGTCTATTTCAGAACAGTACTTGGGTAAATAGTTATCCCTCTCTCGTTTACATAAGAGTGTAATGAAACGTTCTTGAAACTTTCTTTATGGAGCAATTCAATAGATGAAAAAATAATTTTAAGAAAAGAAGGTATAGTTTAAAAAATCGTTAATGTCAAACATACAAAATAGTCCTTCAACTTTCCTCATGGTTATATTATCTTTTTTGATTTAGAATAAAACTTATTTAATATGTTTGTTTAGCGTGTATACAAAAATAGCCGTTCGTGTCGCTATCGTCAGTATATTGACGAATTGTCAATTCCTTAATCCTTAGGCCATCCGTAGAGTTATACTAAAAAAAAAAATTAAACGAAACAATTAACACTTCTAATACTTTGCTGTATAAATCTCTCTCTCTCTCTCTCGCTGTGTTTATGTATATACATATATTTGTTTGTTTGTGATATATTAACAATATTATGGCCATTCTTCAGCAGAAGATAAGGTTTATTTTACAACACCATGCAAAAATAGAAAAATGGGCATTTTTTATTTAGAACTGCCCAATTTGTTGTCTGAACTATCTTTAACAGTTTTTTACTTCTTTCAATAGTATCCCCCCTTCATTTCACTGGAAAGGATAAATAACACGATCAAATTGAAAGACTGCGTCTGCAAAACAATATTTGAGTTTATAACCAACCACAGTGGGCTGAAGTAGGTATCGATTTCATCACATTTAGTAACACATTTGATATTATCCTTAATATCATGTCTTTTAGTTTTACTCTTGTATAAATTGTGCATGAAATACATTTTATGTGCTTGGTATTCTCATTTTCCACTAGTTATTTCTATGAAGTATTAGTTGTGTTACTCTTCTTCCTTTTTTTTTTCAAAACCTCTAAGATAATTAATATTGACTTCTAATCAAAGCAAGCTACTTACATAGGTCAGAACTACAAATCTACCTAGTGATGACTATAGCTAATTAAACATATTGTTCTGACATTCTTAGTTGTTAAAATTAGAATGTATTGTTTTAACAGTTATATGCTTTCGCTGTTAGCGAAATTTTCGTCCATAAACCCAATAACATCTCATGAAGTTCTACCAGCTTAGGAGATTTAGATTATTTCTAAATCCATATATATCAAGCTAACAATGCAAAATAACTTGGATAATAAAAACATAATAATACAATTTAAACATTAATGGTTTGTTTCATACACGGAGATTATAAGTTCTATGAAGAACAAGATATCACTAAACGTTATTGATAATGATAATAATAACTCTGGGCTGTGTTTGTTTATTTTTGTAACGTATGAGTTCAAAGTTGACCATGGTAAAATCGTAGTTGAATTGTTTGTTACATTTTGAAAAAACAACAAGGCAGAATGAACTGTAGTCATAACGTTCGAATCTTGCCTTTCCATATTAAATGTTATAAAAACTGTATCATATTTATTATTGTAGCTTATAAGCTTTCCTTCATAAGATTTAATTAGTAAATATATATATATATGTTATTAGTAAGTTTTTGTAATAAAACATTGGTTAAATTACATAAACGTCCGAAGGAAAATGCTTAAACATTTTCATGTACATGTATAACCTTAACTGAGCTTTTCCCAACGAACTTTTGAAAAACGATGTACTTCGTTTGTACGACTTTATTAGATTTTTTTATCCTAATATCTTTAGCTTTTCGACTCTTTTATCTCTAGTTACCAATTTATTTTAGAATCTTTATCTATTTACAGTCATTATACTGGAGCAAAAAACTATAATTCAAGTTGAAAAACCCTAAACCTAAATCGTGGTTCTCTTATATTGGAGATGTGGGTTCTGATGCTTATGATTTAACATTATAGTATAAAATTTAAACACGATAAATAAATGCATTATATACATTGAATATAAACAATATTTATTTTGTAAATACAATGTGCAACAAAGTTCATATGTTAATGGTAATGGGACAGATGTGCAATATGCACAATACAAATTAAAATCTCAAACACACTGCAAACAACATGTAAACAAAACTTTATAAGCACTTTACACACACTGTTCAGTGGTAAACAAACCGACTGCAGAGTAACAATCCACCAAAGCACTTGAGTAAAACAAAAATTTCACAAAACCACAAATTTGCCTATCTGACTACCTGACTGACTAACGTTGTTGGAAAGACATAGCTCGCGTGCCTTCACATTATACAAATCTAAATGCACATAATTGAAATATACTTCCTTGACTAAAAGTGTTTTTCTTAGTTTTGCTTAAAACCTTGGTAATAACAAGTAATAGCAATAAATATTGTTCAACACTACTAACGAGCTAACAGTACACTAGTAGCCATATTTTATAATTACGAGCACGATCTGTGAGTTGCCAATCGTGAGGTGCACGATTGCTTATGTGCACACGCTATGTGATCAGTCTGCAACTGTATCAGCTAGATAAAAAAACGTGGACTAGATCTCTAGATCTAGATTCTAACTATGATCTACCCTTTTGAGAGCAAAGTTTTCAGTTCTATACATCTGGCTGGAGGGTTCTATGTTTGAAAAAGCAATTATATCATAGCAGTTGATGCTTAAGATAAGACATGAGTGTCCTACGTGAAAACAAACGCTACCACTGCCAAAGTCCGACACGGATTTGCTTGAGCGTTCTGGACTGAAAACAAGAATGATAATCTGTATAATTTACCTTTGCATTGTTTTCAAACTAATCGTGACCTATTGACATCTAAGGTTGTACTTGCAACAGTGCAAATTTTTAAAATATGCCTTTCAAGGAAACAAAACGAGAGTAAGATAGAGAAAAGCTTATGCTGATAACGTTGAAAAGCCTTTGTCCCAGCAAAGAGAGCATTACTGCAGGAATGGAGATAAGGTTAGAAACAGTTATGCTGAATATGCGAAACAAGTCTTAGCCATTAATCCAGCCAAATAAAAGTCTGCCACACTGGCTAAATGGAAGAAATACTATAACAAAGATATCAGGAAATGTCGAGAAATACCTCAAAGAAAAGCTACGAGAAGGATTGGCCTAGAGCCCAGTCACTCTCGAGACTTAATGCCAAAAAGAAAGCTATGAAAAAGTGTGAAAGAAAATGTTAATAAAAAATTAGGAAGTAGACATGGGAGCACCAATAAATTAGGAAGTAAGGTAGGAATGGGTGGGATAACATTACAACACTTGATGATGTTTGCAACCTCAAAGTGGGTGTGGCCATTGTTTCTACTTCATGTTTTATTTTGAACTTTGATCCCATTATATGATTAAACTGATTTTTCTCAGTAACTAATCCTTTCTAAATACTCAACAAATGTAAACATTTCAAAAATCAGCAGTTTGATACTATTCTTTTGGCCCACCCTTTAACAGTTAGATAGCTATAATGTCTACCATAAGCAGAGTATGACTATTGGATCTTCCTGTCTCACTTCCGACATCAGACATCCCCTTTATGATGTCATGCATTTCGTTAGAGTCATGTAATTTTGATTACATACATGTATGTATTTCGTTGCTAAAACTAAGTTTACAACAGAGAAAGTTAGCTATAAACACCTTTCATTTAGTTTGAACAATGACCAACTTACAAAACACACTCGAAATAGGAATGAGCGGAACGCTGGCCTCACCCACTTTGAGGTTGCACCATGCCAAAAATCACCAAATATTGTAATGTTATCCCGCCCATTCCTACCGTGTTTCCTTACTTTTTGGTGCTCCCAATACTACTTCCTAATTTTCTTACTATTGAAATTATTTCAAACGTAAGTCAGCAAGCTACATGACAACCAGGGTCAATATAAAGCCGGGTAGAACGGACTGTATCTGAACTACATTTTGATATTATTTATTGCTACATGTGATGCTGCTGATAACTGACCACCTTTGAGAATTGTATGTAATAGCCTTTCTTATACAAAATATTTATAAGCTCAAATTATAAAGACGTGTTCAAATAGAGAATTTAGTATAAACAAGACACTTAATGACCTTGTAAAACAAATGAATATGAGGCACCAGAGCCATCCAGAGAAAAACCTGCAACAAGTAGGTCCGTGAACTTAGTCCCCTCCCCTATTAACTGTAAAGCTAACCAAATTTTGCACATGTTTATTACTGATTTTGTGCTATTTTTCCACAAATGTTAAACTTTATGATGCTGCTACAACTAGAATTATGAGTCAATATTTGTGGGGGGCTAATTTAACTACAGCTCCCCCCGACTCTGATCCATATGAAACTTATCACTCATTCAGTGCTGATTTTGGGCTATTTTGTGCCACAGCTAGAATTTATGCTGTACTACAACTAGAGTTACTAAATTTTACAGCATATAAGACGCACCCATATTTTAGCAAAGAATATTTAAGGAAAAAAAAACAATTGAGTGTATCAAAGGATTTAATGTTTACTCCAGATAACATAAAACATGAAATCTGCATATCAAGAAAACTTATTTCAATGAAAATATCATACATGCAACATATTAAATCAAATTTGTTTAACAAGAACAACTTTTCAGTAAAACCCTGAGGTAAAGAGCAAAAAAATTGTTGTTCTGTAAAAAAGAAGCTTTAATTATTGACATATCCAGCAAAATCTTCATCACTACTGCTCAAGGGCGCCCGCAGAAAAAAATTAGGGGGGGTCAAGTAACTCAAGTTTGAAATAATTATGAAACCGAAATACAAATGTACAACGTTTCGACAAGGTTTTGTCATCATCATTTGTCGAAACGTTGTACATTTGCTGTCATGTTAAACTTGTATTAAAGTTTTTCTTCATTACCCATTTAAGCAGTCTCCAGCCATTATTAGTCTCAAAGTGGGTTCCTCGTCATCGAAATATCTAGTAATTGTTTTTCTTTCTGAAAATCCAGCGAGGGTCAAGTGACCCCCTTGCCCCTTCTCGCGGGGGCCCATGTTAATGTTTATGGATAGTGAATTTTCGCTATCTTCGAATAATGCCTCATTTTCAGAACCATCTAGGGTATTAATAATGTCACACATTTTCTTTAACTTCACATATTAGACGCAGGATGATTTTAAGAGGCTTTTTTATGGATGAAAAATGCGTCTTGTGTGCCGTAAAATAAGGTATGAGGCAACCTTTCTAGGGTCTAGCTTCACCCCATCCCCCAAACTCTGATCCATACGAAACTGGGCACGTATTTAGTGCTTATATCATACAGGCTACAGAATTAAAACTGTCATGACTGCAGCTATCTAAGGTGTTGTATATGAAAGATTCACTCACTTCGATGAAATCACCTGTAAATCAATATTTTTATTTTCATTCGAAAAGCTATCGTCAGGAAAACAAGTGAGTGGTTTCAGTGGCGGTAATATATCAAACCGACTTAAAACTATTGTTTCCAATGTACTGTACTTGTGTGTTTACGGCAAATACGGAATTAACATAATGCAAAAAAATAACAATTCGCTGATGATTAAGCTTCAAAGTAAACAGCAGATTGTCAAGGTCAAGGATATGGTCCTATATAGTAACGTAGAATGATAACTACTATTGTTTAAAGTTCTGAGACATTTACGAAGTGTGAACTTAAATTATAAGCTTTTACCTAGACAGACAATTTGACTGAAAGGCCTCCAGATTGATCAATTCGGATGATGTAATGAGGTGTACTAGAATTATTACAAAAGCTGTCTACACAAGGCGTATTC